TTGAACAGTGGTACTGCCGACTAGAGATCGCAAATGACGGAGAAATTGCGAAGGAGTACGGTCACCGAGTTCTTCTTCGACAAGGAGTTGTCGTACACGACGCTCTTCTGAGACGGACAGACGACGTATTATTTCAGTCTTGAGGGTGGTGTATGGATTATCAGCAGGAGGAGTGGTGATCAAATCCCTACCGCTCATCCAAATGCGATATCACATAGGAGTATTTAGTAGACTCCTGAGTGACACGTGCAAGCCTAAATTGTGCTTCAACTCCAAAAAGGAGGTAACTTTACACTCACCCGGTTAACTTCCAATGGCAGCACCGGTTGTTCATTCTGATGATGTTGCTGTTCCTGCATTTGACGAAGTGCTTCATTTTGGTTCTGGATTTGTTCCAATTGTGTCTGTAGAAACTCCATGGTTCGTGAAATATATCCGTAAGGAAAATATTTCACCAAATACGACAGGTAAAAGTCACCGTGACACGCACAAATATAAAAAAAATATAAATTAACAATTTAACGCAGAACTACACAAACATAATGCGAATCACGTCGGGGTCACCAGTGTGGGGTTACGTGACGCTAATAAGCCCCCCAGGTAGGATCATGAAATTGATATAAATGGATAGAGGGCACCTTAACGAAGCGTTTTCAATAAAAAAATCTGCGGAAGAGGCCCTAAATTTTCCACAACCTTAATTAAAAGTTCAATTCATTTCCTCGAAAGTGAGGTTATATTACTCCAAATTTCATGATTGTTGTTCAGTTGGTAGTGGTGTTCTTAACATTCCTGAGTGCCAACTGTAGTTAGTTTCTTAAGAGGTTATGTTATTTTTCCACGATTTAATTAACTTTAAACAATGATATACAACTTTATACATGTTTTTAATTATACCATAATAGCAGTAAGTAGTTCTCTACATCCTACATTGCTAAGCAGCGATTCATAAGGAAAAGGCGTTCCAAGTTAAGCGGTGATTGCCAACGTATCGGCGATCCATGGAAAATGCGAGAGATGTACCTTCCTCTCTGGACCGTATTAGGCGGTGGATGCTACGTAGCGATTCATACAAAAAGGCCTGTATACGCTTCAAAAAGTGGTGTTATTAAAATGTACGTCACATGGAAGTGTCGCTTATTTGGTGTTTAAGTCGAACAAAACTTAAAATTGTATTGTATATTATACCTGTTGTACTACTTTTCTTACATTCTCTTAATATACACGTTAAACCCAACATATTTCATTTTAGTAGACGAAGAAGTTAACATAACCTTGAAACTTGAAACTTTGACATACCTATGCCTGGCGTCGCCGCCTCTCCCAGGATTTAGTCAACTGTTGTGAGGATGCGTCCCTGGTAGACACTATCAGGGACGTTTCTCCACTACTTTGTTGCCATCGCGCTGGGCCGCGACATATGCCAAACAATGTGGTGGATTCTGTGGATTGGGGGGGTTGTGGGGGGGGCGGCTAACTGGGTGTTATCCGACCCGAACGGGTACGGCCACAGCTTCGCCATTGGTATTCTGCCTTAGAGGGAACTCTGCTTTCTAGTGATAGCTTCTTCTCCTGCCGTTCATTGGCTTCCGATGTTCCTATCCTTTAGTCTCGTTCCCTTCCCTGTTTTCCATCGTGTTAGGCCCTTTTTATTGTTGTCCTCTTCCTTCTCCCCTTGGCTACTTGTCCTTGTGGCTGATTCTTCGTCCGCCTCCAGTATTCTTCTGCTCTCTTTCTTCCTTTGATGTTTGTCTCTGCTCTTCTCTTCCCATCTTCCCATGGTAATCCCCAAGACCTCTACCGTTTGGTTTATGGTGGTGTTCCATGTCTGGCAGGGTCGGGCTACCTTCCATTCCGAGGCACATAGAATCTTGGCAGCCCGTATGATATGGTCTTTGTTCCTCCTGTCTGGTATGTCCCCAGTATCTCATCTGCCTCATCTTCAGTCTCCTGGCAATCGTCTTTCCCTCTAATAGTTCTCTTCTCTACTTTCTTGTGAGGTTGCTGTTTTCTTCAGTAGCCTGAGTGCCTTCCACTCCGCCCTCCTCAATGTTCGTCTGTTGCTCCTTGTTGGCGCTGAAATGTTAATTCCGCATAAGATTGTCGGTGCTATGATCTTGTTGTAAATCATCATTTTCAAGCTGTCCGGTATTTTGTTTTCTCGAAATAAGTTCCAGATTTCGTGTGTGATTCTGAATACGTTGGTTATTCTGTCTTTCACTGCGTTGTGCCTGCTGAGGGTGCTGCTTATGTACGTTCCCAGATATTTGATCTTGTGCTTCATGGTTATCTCCTTCCCGGCTATGCTCTTCTCTCCTTCTTTGTACTGGAGGTGTTGTTTCCTGGCACTCTTGTCATAATGTAGCTCTTTTCGTTGTATATTTGTAGGTCCACCATTTCCGGGTGAACCTGGTACCTCGATGGCCTGGACGAAGTCCTCAGTGTCTTATAAATTATCCGCGATTACGAGTAGATCGTCCGCGTACGCCAGTAATGTCGGTAATTGTAATTGGCCGCCTGTGCTAAGGTTCCTCCCCATCATCCTTGTTTGTTCTATAGCGTGGTCAAGTGCTATCGCGAAGAGCCTTGGGGAAACGGACATCCTTGTTTGATTCCCCTGGTTTTCTTTTGGTGTTCGGTTTTCTTCCAAAACCATTGTATACTAGTATACTCCCTTTGCCACGCGTGAATGGTTCAGTTGATTAGGAATTTGGGTAGTCCCAGCATCGCCCACGCTGTCATTGGTATATATTTTCTGTTTCTCCCTTGTTTCTTGCTTTTATATTTTCTGATGTGCCGATACCATTACATTTGCGTATTCCTCTCCATTGGTCTGAGTTTGGCGATGTTCTCCGCGAACTCGGCGAATTCCTTGATTTTGTGTTGCTCATAGGGTCTGTTTTCTTCTTCCTTGGATTCCCTTAGCTCCTTCTTTGCTTCAGGTTAGTGTGGGTTTTGGCCCGCTTTCTGGTCGGTCACATGGGCGGTTTCTGTTTCCCTAGTGTTTTCCTTGTTGCTTCTTTGATCGTTTCGCCGATCTTTTCCAATATGGTATCCCTTCCCCCTTTTTGCTTCTAATCTTTTACCACTCCTTTCAGTACTGTTCGTGACGCTTATTTCCTTTGATTTCGTCCTTGTTATGTGGTCAATCAGCGATTCAATGTTTCCCCTCCTACATGTTACCATTTTGGACTTGCCGAATATGTTTTCTACCCTCAGTTCTATCTATCCGTCATATCAATTGTGGGTAGAAACCTTCCAGGTTAGGTTTTCCCTGATGTATGCGTTGATTTCTTTTTTAATCCTTTGGTTAATTTTCTGTGAGGCTCTGATGTCACTGGCAATCGCCTCAGTTGGTGCGCAATCGTTCCAAACAGGCAGTACCCGTCCTTATTTATACTGATGCATTCTAGGATGTATTCTTTTATTTGATCGCTGTTACTTGTCATTAAGGTCTTAATTCTGGTTTGGGTGGTGGGTGCTGTTTATTGATCGCTAAAAGAGATACCTAGGAGAGATAATTTAGTTAAGTTAGTTGTTAAGTCACTGAGACGTGCTCCTTCAGTCTATGTTTGGCCGTCCCGTATATTCTATTGTCTAAAGGTACTAACGAGAGTAAAAAAGTGTAAAAAACAGGAAAAAAGCCGCTGAAATTTGGTAAGAAAGGTTCCCTCTTTTTGTCAATCATGCCTATTAAACCGAAATTTGAGAGTTTAAATATTGTAATTTATGACTATAGTTTCTTTTTATGTCTCCGGTTGACAAGTTTATATTTCCTTTCCCAAGGGTCAATTTGTTCCACCCCGATTCGAAGTAGGTAGGTAGATTCAATGTAGCTCCCAGTGACTTGCGCCTCCCTATTCTATCTTTTCCCCTTTGTTCAATTTTAAATTAAATTTAGCCTTAATTCTAAGTAAGTAAGTGAGTAAGTAAGCAAGCAAGCACTTATCTTAACTTTACGCCTTGTTTTGTCCTGTTGATTGGAGGTTCCTGCCCTGTCTTGTCACGATTTAATTAGTCTCGCGCTTTATGAATCTTGAGATTAAATTAAAACTGTAAACATTCGTAAAATCTCAACCACTGAACCGATTTCGATGAAATAAGCACTAAACAATTACAAATTTTGTACCCTCCCGACTGCACGCGATAAAACATTTTTAAACCTATACAAACACAAAAACCCACTAAAAAGGCCGGAGCTGGCTCGACGAAGAAGTTAACATAACCTCCTACAAAAATTTGCTGTCACCTTTGTTTATTAGTGGAAAAAGAGCTGTCACGTAAAATTTTTCAGTTTCGCCAACTTAAGTTTTACGTATATTTTGTCATTCTTAAGAATGACAATGACAATCTTAATAATTAAATTTTTCTGGAAATCTGGTGTTATTTTACGTATATTTTGTCATTCTTAAGAATGAGGTGAACTTTTAATTATTAAGATTGTGGAAACTTTAGGCCCTCTTCCGCAAATTTTCTAAACGTGTTATTAAGGTGTCCTCTATCCACTTCTATCAGTTTCATGATCATACCTGGGGTTCTTATTAGCGCCACGTACCCCAAACGTTACAAAATTACTGTTGTTTATTATTTTTTTTCCTCTCCTTGGTTACCTCATCACTCTGGTTACTTCGTTATTTCGTTACCGCCACAAGGGCATAAGAATAGTATATTTTTTTTATTGAAGCGAGTTGATATATTTGTAGATTCTTTTGGTGCCGCCAACATAAAGTTTAGGTATTGCACCGTTATTTAATAGAACTCAAAAATTTCGTTTCTTCTAAGAAGTCAAATATCTCCCTTAATAATTGTCATATGCCAATATTATTGGTGAGGTTAATAAAAAGAAATGAAACATTCTGAAATATCATTAAAATTCTCTATTACTGTGATACTGCGGGCATACATTCAAAGTTGTCAACTTTCCGACACACGGCTAACTTGTGAAACACACTATACATCCTTAATTTTCTCCATTTCAGCGGAGCAGAAACCAAATTCCATCAAAATCGGATAAATACTGTAGAAGGCAGCGTTGGGATGCCAAAAGGAATTGATCTCAACACAACTTGTGATATCTCAAATGTTAATCGTTAAATGGCGATGAAGAAACCTTAATTTTGTTATAGTGGCATGCATGTGCTTAATAGAAAGCAAATCTCAGTCCATTAATCCGGGACATTTAGGCGATATGTGCGGGTTGATTTACCAAATCCTACAACCTATTCCCTACCCAAAAGGGGGTTGCCAGAGATTAACAAACCCGAAAAACTCTACAACAAAACTTTCCTTTCTCTTTTACGTAAAAGCACGCCCACGCCGATTAATTCCACTAATGTACTCGTTTACGCGATAATATCGACCCCCCCACCCCCAAAGTAAAAGAATCTTAAATACAATTTAAACGCGAGAAAGCTCATCAATTATTCAAATTCAATTTCGTTCCCGGCAATTAATAACTCAATTTCGATTTTTCGGGCACGTAAGTCGAGGTGCTTTCCAGTCTCTTTTAGACTAATGGCGTAATGAATCCATTAAGGACGGGAAAAAGGGAGATTATCGGATCAGCGTTTCGCTTCCGGCGGACCTTTCTGAGGTTAACCTCAGCCATTTACCCTCATAAAGCTCAGAAATATTGTTGGGGCGATGTAGCGTGTTTTGCGTAAACAAAACTGAATTTCAGCGTTTTCAGATAGGAATATATTATGTCTCCACACTATAAACTGATATATTTTAATGCGCGAGGTCGTGCCGAGCACATACGTTTGATATTTGCATATTCGGGGATCGAGTACGAAGATTACAGGGTCCCGAAGGAGAGGTGGCCGGAATACAAGAAAAGTTTGTATTTCGTGAGTTTCTCTCTGGTGTAAATTTTGCTTTTTAGAGACGCCTTTCGGGATGTTGCCCATTCTGGAAATCGATGGAAAGGTCGTGTCGCAAAGTAACGCGATCGGTAGATATCTAGCCAAACAGCACGGTCTTGCGGGCAAAGACGAATGGGAAGCTTTACAGTGCGATGTCCTTGTCGACACGCTCGGAGATCTCAAACAAGGTAAGAACTTAATTCCATTAATTGAACGATGCCTGCAAGATTCTGGCGAAATACATAAGGCTGGGATTATTTGCAATTCAAATCGACGGAAACTTTTGCGCTTTTCGCCAGCCACTTCCTGAACCTAATTTCGACTTCTTTCCACGGTGATATAAAGCTTTCTTGGTATCGTTCCGATTCCCTTTTCGTGCATTACATGCTAACTCAATTTCACCCTCATCTTTGCTAAACTTTTCCGCGATTTGTAATTCCTACAAATGCACATCCGCAGATTTTCTCCTCCAAATTACAACTCTTTTACAATTCAATTACAAATCTTTAATTTATTTAATTTGCTTAAAATCATTTAAATATAATTAGGGTACGAATCTCGGAACGCAATTCCATTACGCAGATCACGACCATTGCCATTTGCTTAATAGCAATTTTAAGGTATAAAATGAATGTCATCATTACAATACACAATAATCATTCACTCCCAAGAAGCACAAGTACGTACAGCGCTGGATTTATGGACGTACACTTCACGTACACTTACGGTTCATGTACGAACATGGTACGTTGTTTTTGCACTACTTTGTACATGCTAGGTATATGCTCTACCGTACGTACTTTAGACGTACTGTTATGTATGTATAATGTACTTACTCTTGCTCCCGTACATAGTACGTACGCAAAAGTACGAACCTAGTATGTACAAAGTGATGAAAAAATAACGTACCATGTACGTACATAAACCGTAAGTGAACGTGAAATGTACGTCCGTAAATCCAGCGCTGTACGTACTATGTATTTGCAAAGTACGTACTTGCGTTATACAAGGTGATTGATTCTATTTGCCTTCAAATTGATGTTTTATTTCACAATAAATGGACTAGGGCACAAAATGTTATACTGTCACCACTTTTATTTAATGAGAAATGACTCACGCGTACCGTCCAGCTACAGAAATTAAAAAACTAAGCTAAGGAAAGCCGGTGTTGGGACCGGAAAGAGCAAAGCACGTGCGCATGTCATGATCACATGCAAAATTATCAGTTGTCTGAAATTGTCCGTGTACCATGTACGTACCTTGTACGTTATACAGTTATAGTTTGTGATCGCACACAACTGTACGTACATCAGACGTACATATTTGTCCCACGGACCTACGTACGTAAAATGGAACAAAAATGTACGTACAGTGGACAATTCGTGCTATATGGGGTACCTCTACACCAAGTCATACATTTTTGGGGCGAGACTGCCCTAGAACACATTAACTTCTCTAGGGGTGAGTACCGTTTTTCTTTGCATAGGGTTCTTGGAGCGAAGAACAGGAATTAAAGAGACCACGATACTATATACACCTTCTCCACCAGTTACACGGAGAGGTTCAACCAATCGCCGACGTTGGGAATCCAAGGTTTATTTTGAATCCCCACCAAATTCTTTATGAACCATTGTGGTCTGGTCTGGTAGAAAATAATTTCCTTTCATTCATTTTGCGGGAATTCAATTTTTTATTTTATAGCATATTGACCGTGAGGGCAGATAAAGTGACGACTTTAACCGCAAGGGCAGATAAAGTGGAACAGATCATTGTGTATTTTAATGCGATATGTCATTCTTATTTCAAATGGAACGCGGAGCACGATATAAAATGACGTTCACAACATACGACAATGATGTTTCGATGGAAACGACTGCGACGGCAGAGCGTAAGCTTGCTATTTTTGACGTCTAAATTAAATTCAAAATTGTCAGAAGCTTTACAATGATATGACTTCTGCTATAAAATAAAGTTTTTGTATTTTACACGACGATAAAGGGACTTGATCATCCGGCACATTTCTCTCCACTTTTAACGAATGAAATTCACTGCACCGTGTCCATGATACGGGTGAAATTAGTGAATTAGAGGTGTGACAAGTGGGTGACTCTCAGTTGCCCCTGTAACAGCTGCTGGTGTTGTTGTGGTGGTTGTACTGACGTACTCCCTACCTCAAGTCCGGCAGGGGTACTAACCCTCACCTTCAGAGAGGAAAACTCATAACTAAGCCTTCCCCCCTTGGTGATTAGGTTACCCTGGTCCTTTCCTCACTGCCGTATACTATCAGCCTCTCTTCAGTTTGATCCTTCACAGCTGTGTGGAAGAGACACTGGCTACCTACCTTTTCCCAGGATTTCTTCACCTCCAAGTGCCACTTGACCGCCTAGGCTTCTTTGACCTTGTTTTATTCTTATACCCAGCTTTCTCTTCGGCCAAATGCTGCCTTCAAATCCACGGTATCACTTTTGCACCCTTTTTTTTGTTCTTTGTCAATCAGTTTGTGTAGTACATATATACAATCGATCGGTCCTCTCCTTCTTCTGAATCCCACGTGTGTTTACTCTAACATCCTCTTCTTCTGTTCTGTACGCCTTATAATTTTCCACACTGTCTTTGTCACCTCCTTTGTAAATCGGCTATATTTATTACCCCTTCTTTCCATTCTTCCGGTAGTCTTCCTCCTTTATTAATTTCCATAGCCTCTCGTTGATACGAGCTCATAGCTCCCTGTCACTTTCCCTTTCTTCTTTCGATATCTCGTCCCCTTTCGCTTTCACCTTCCTTCTCTCTTCCTCTATCACCTCCTCTTTCTCCTGCGTTCCTTGCAGTAACTTAATAAAGTGCTGTTTCAATTCGTCTATTTCTATCTCTCTCCCACTTATTACGTTGTTCGCTTTTTCTCTGTTTCTACCTTTCCAAAAAATCCTGTTCTGTTTCATTTTTTCTTCTTTTTTTGTCTTCTTTTATCGCACCCTCCTCTTATTATTTCCATGGTATTATTTGTTCCTATCTCCCTCCATGTTTCCGTTTAATATGCTCCATCTTCTCTTTTCTTATAATTCCAATAACAATTCTCCCTCTTTCTTCCATTCTTTTTTTTTACTTTCTATGTTGGGTTCCTTTTACCATCTCTACCCGACTACATTTCTTTCTCGTGACACCATGCATCCGCTTAACTCGACTTTGCTTTCACTTTTATCATGACGTAATGAAAGTTCTTTAAAAACTCTCTAGCTTCTTTTACGCAACTTCACAATTAAGCAAGGCAGACTGTCTTTTTAAATAAGCTAAAATACGATAATGCACCAAAACAAACGGCTTCGTTTCAAACGTCCATCATCAAAGAAGTTACTATTAACGTCTTCCTCTTATATTTAAAACAATGTAGTTTTCTCGCTTCATTAACAAAATACCGCGTCTTTGAAAGAATTAACATCTGCTTATTTCGGCGATAACATGTGCTTATCTTGAAGCTAACTAGCATACGCTTCCTATCTACGACTGGAGAAAAACATGAGATAAACTGTTACTCTTCCCTTTGTGTGATCTTTCTTCGCGAATAACATAATTACCTCTTACTCTTAAATTCTAGGGTAGTTATCGGTGAAGGCAAGTGACCGTACCTTGCATTGAGCTTCAAGGTCTTCAGGGATGAGACAAATATCTTATTGTAATACGTGACTTATGCGAACGATTTGTTTGTTTTAGTCCTTTGGAAATACAGAACGGAGCAGGACCCAATCAAAAAAGAGGAACGCAAAGTGAAACTAATGAAGGAAACAATTCCGTTCTATTTAGCAAAATTCGAAAAGGTCGTGGCCGACAACAACGGCTACTCGGTCGGTTCTGCTGTAAGTGAGCGTCGTCTTGAGCTCCCCGCGTTTACGACGACAACTTTCCTTCCAGATTACCTGGTGCGATTTCGTGTTCGCCGTGTCCCTCGAAAATTTTGAACTGATCTTCGGCAAGGCGTCGCTGGACCAGTACCCGGCGCTCAAGGGACTCAAGGAGAAGGTCTACAGCATACCGAGCATAGCGGCGTGGTTCGCCAGACGACCGACAACTGAATTCTAATCAAAATTTTAATTTGTTTAATGTAGTAGGTACTCTGGACCACGGACACGCAATATTAGGAATAAATGAGACACATTATTTTTTTGGGATTACTAGAGATACGCTTCGTAATGGTGGTAGATGATTGTTAAAGGATGTTACCGTAACAGTGTATATATGTTCCATTTATCGATAAGTTTAATAAAGTTGTTACATGTAAAGGGTTTGTTTTAGCGAGTGAGTGGTAGGTAGGTACACTACGCTTCCCTAAGTTTTCTCGTCCATTCACCATGTCGGCCACCCACTCGCTTCCTATTTACCCCACAGGAAAGTGTCTACGTACCCTGTGAATAATCCACCGCTTTTGGTATGGCGGTTGCATTGGGTAGTTTTGTAGGCCCACATAGCTCATGCAGTTATACGACGTACCCTAGTTGGTCATCTGCGACATACGTCCCTTTGAACTGCCGCTCTTGGAGGTTATGCGTACGTTTTCCTGCTCCATAGCTTCGCAATACACGCGACATAGACTAAACAATAATTTTCCATGACAGTGAATAGGACGCACGGGATGATTGCAGAGATAGTACCGTGTATTTAACTATGCCTTCAATATTGTCCAAGTTGATGGTTCGCAAATCTTCGGGTGTTGCAATCACTTAAGGATGTCCGACAGGGTATTTACCATGCTTATTAGCATATGGGTAAAGAGAACAACCGCAAAGAATCAAATTTGTTCACTCTCTTCGGCACGGTAAGGCGTTGGTCCGACCTCCGAAAAATCCAAGGGCTCATTTTTGCCAATGTTATAGCTGTCCAAAAAAGGGCTGTCGCGGAGAAATGCCCGAAACTCATATCTCCAGCAAATTGTAGCTACTAGACCTGATGCGGTATGAAGTGGCTTCGGTTTTCTTTTGACCAGCAAACATTCTATCGCCCTTGGTGCCCTTCAACGAAGTGGTCTGGTCCGGGAAACATCTTTCGCACCCATGGTAACAGCATCCATGGTGCTAGTATCAACCAGAATCTTAATCGCACTTCTCTTCCATTTCCGGCGTGTTGGATGTCTGGCACCTCTTCCGACTGCAACCACACAAGCCATTTGATGGCTATATGGCTCTTCTGATTTGTTTTCCTGTAACCGCCTGGAGGTATTATACCTATGGTATCTTACATTAAGAAGTTGCGTTTTGTCCAACTTTTTCTTGTCTGGGGAATTTCTTACCAATACGCAATACTTTTCACTGCAAACTGAGGTCAGACATGTGCTGCATCTCAGTCTAGTACACAACCCCTGGTTTATGTGCATTTGGAAGCACTGCTTTCAGCGAAAATTTCGGTTACATTTGGGACATTTAATGTTCATGCACGGTGGACTTCATAATTGTAAATACTTTATAGTGTTCTGTGGATTAGGCCTACAGGGGATACCACTTTAAAAAAATCCGCCATTAACTCTATCTACATCCTAGGACATCATCAGAAGTTCTTCAACGCATGACCAGGAAGCCACATAATGGAGGCAATATAAGACAAGACTTTTATTGGTGCCGCTTACACTGTTACATTAAAAATACCTGCATCTCTTAGCCAGATCGTTGCAGCTGGCGCTCCTCTTCCGTTTGCAGGCGTGAAACGTATAAAACTTGTGGACGTACTTGACCATCGCCTCAATGCCGGCAAAGGTTTCCTTGCCCACCTTTAGTATGTCGGAACGTTGAGGCTCGAAACCGCTTCGTCCGCGCTTGTGAAGCTCGATGGTGTACGCGAACTTCACCTTGTGAACCCGTCTCACGTAGTCCGTCGTCGTCCCGGACGCGATGTCTAAAGCTGCGCGTTATAGGGTTGAATTGCGCCGAGGACGACACTTACACATTGCCTTCGAAAGCTGGCCCACGGTAAACTTGCTTTTTGGCGTGTTGCACTTCATCGCCTTCTGGGCTGCCACGGCGCAGTTAAGCTTCAAGGTTTGCCGTTATGGCGGAGTAAAGAAAAAGGGGTGGCTTACCAAGTCCCGCTCGTCCCAAAGCGAGTCGGTGGTGTGCGACCACGGGTACATGATTAGGTGGCCAAAGCAGTGGAGCGATATGTAGAGTCGGACGCGGCAGGAGTATTTACCGAGCGCATTCGCTAGGCTTTGCGTTTCGGGCTCGCTTAGGGCGCTGGCGCCGTGGTAACGGGCACTGTCCCTGTGCCGGCTGCTACCCTCGTCTGCAATACATATTTAACTAAAACTGGCGAGCTTTTAACGACTTAAGTACGTCCGAACGCCACGGGAAAATTGCGATTGAGGTCGACCCCCCACTTCTTGACATCCTTCGAGTTGTTGTGGTTAAGGTTCTTCCGCCAAAGTCGGCACTAGAAGCGAGCTGTTAGTTTTCGTAAAGGTACGAGGGCATCTCACGCTTGTGTGGGTATACTCGTAACCGTCCGGGTTAACGCAGGGGATGATGTAGAAGTCCATGTAGTTTAACATGGTCTTCGTCGCCAGGAGTTTGTCGATTATGTACAGGATGGTGCTGTGTGCCAACCACTCACGCGCGTGTATTCCCGCCTCGATCATCGCCCCTTGCTTCGGACGCGTGGCGTCCGCCTGCAAGACCAGCATACGAATCGGTCGCCCTTGCAGCGACATCCCTATCTTTTCAACTCGCACGTTGCAAGGGTACAATATTGGCAAAAGGTCCGTGTAGCGTAGAATCTAAAAACTGGTCTCTTCAGCTTATCTCTTGGTGCCTTTCTTACCTGATTATAACGTGGGAAACTAGTTTGGAAGCATTTTTGCATTTTTTTGTGTAGTTTTTTGTATTTTGGATTCATCGTTTACTAAAAATTTTGACAGATCTGTCACTTGCCTAGTCCCTGTAAACGTCACGTAAGCTTCCATGCCAGATCTGAATTCTCTTTACAATCTCTCACAGTTTCAGTTTCTAAAACCGGAAGGTCTGCAACGAAGTGTCTAGGTAAGTACAGTGGGCTTTCACTATTTCAAACTTCGAGTTAACCATCCATACAAGTCAATGGAGATTACATTAACGCCCTAAAGGTGATTTTGTAGATTCTATAGATGTTGCTGTCACTAGAGTCAGTAGATTCTGAGGATTCTGGGTACTGCAGACTATGTGAAGTTAGTAGATTCGTTAGCTCTTATTAATTGTGTACACTCTGTATTTTTCGCAGACCCTGTGTTGCATCTGCAAATGCTGTATAATCATAGATTGTAAAGATTTTGGAAAAAGGAAGATTCTGTGGACCCTGTAGGTTCTGAGAATCTTGTGCGTTCTGTCAGTCTGTAAATTTTGTAGATTTCGTGAATTACATTGGTTTTTCAGTGGGTTCTGCAGATTTTGTAGATAATGAAGTATTTATGGATTATTTAAATTCTACAAGTTCTTTACGTTTTGTAAGAATGTTCTAGGTTCCGTGCATACGGGACATTCTGTATATTGCTTTAGATCGTATGTACAGGGTGAGTCAACGATTGCGCGGAATAACTTAATGCCTTGAAAATAAGATTTTTCGATAGAGTTCTTTTGTATTATGATACAGTTGGATATTGTTCACATTTTAAAAATATTTGGAATTATACAGGATGCGCCCACAAAGTAGGGCGCCAAAGTACATTTTTTTAAATAGAAGCCCCTGTATTTGAATGCATTTTTGAATTCTACGTGTAATTGTACGTCTTTTTTATTATATGGTTAGTATCCGAAAAACTAGTATTTTTAAAGATAATTCGATTTGTAGTAAAAATTGGGCATTTGCAAGGTCAGTATATTGCCAAAATTATTACTTAAATTTTGATTCCAGGTTTTATATCTTTTATCCTGGGTTAAGTAAAAGTCATATAAATACATCTACTATGAAACATTAAAAAAATAGGTTAGGTACAGGGTGTTTTTTTGTAGATCCATAGTTACAAAATTTCATATTAAAAAGTCTCACTTTTTTAAATGGAACACACTGTATATTTTTCGGTCATCTTTTACCTCCTCCAAAAACTTTCAACTTTTGATTATAATGTCCTACACCTATCTCTGATAGTTTTCGAAATATCTTGGTTTTCCTGGTTCAAAAGTTGAAGGTTTTTGTAGGAGCTAAATGATGGCAGAAAAATATACAGGGTGTTCCATTAAAAAAAGTGAGATTTTTTAATATGAAGTTCTGCAACTTTGGACCTACCAAAAAGGACCCTGTAATATGCTATATTTCTAATGTTTCATAGTAGATGTATTTATTTGACTTTTACTTAACGCAGGATAAGATATAAAACCTGGAATCAAAATTTAAGTAATAATTTTAACAATATACAGGGCGGTGACTTGCGTATCGCATCATAGGGATTTCAATGTAAAATTCATGGCATGCGATTATTGGCTCCCCAAATTATTTTAGAGCAAAAATGTATTAAGCTTTTTTTTGTAGAAAAATTTTTTTACGTCAATCAACCGTATTAGTTTTCAATTTTTTGCATAATAAAGACGGAAAATTGGAAAAATAAAACCCGCATCTTTTTCAATAATCTGCGATGCTATGGAATTTTCTAAAACAAAAGATATCTAGCTATCAATGAGCAGCAGTTCGAAATGGATTTTATGATCGACTTTGTTACTGTATTGCAGTTAATGGTGACTTATTCGAACACATATTGTAAATTGTTATATTAGGAAACCGTTTTTAGTAATTTGGTCTCTCTTTATGTTGAATTCGCTGTTCCAAATATAATACTTTTTGATAGAATTTGGTTTGTTTCATAGCAGACATTCCATGGCATGACGGATATTGGCGTAGTTTTTGTGTTATAAAATTCCATGGCATCACAGATTATTGAAAAAGATGGGGTTTTTATTTTTCCAATTTCATGCTCTAAAATAATTTGGGGAGCCAATAATCGCATGTTATGAATTTTACATTCAGACCCTTACGACGCGTTACGTCACCAATTCGAATATTAACCATATAATAAACAAGACTTACAATTACACGTAGAATCCAAAAATGCCTTCAAATACAGGGGGTTCTATTAAAAAATGTACCATTTGGGCGCCCTACTTTGTGGGTGCACCCTGTATAATTCCAAATATTTTTAAAATGTGGAGAGTAAATCAACCATATCATAATACAAAAGCACTCTATCGAAAAATCTTATCTTCAAGGCATTAAAGTTATTCCGCGCAATCGTTGACTCACCCTGTACATACTTCACATTGGTTTAGCAATGCCTTAGGCACCTTTCCTTCTTAATGCCTATTTCTTTATGAACCAATCGCTAAGGCTATTTTAAAAGCAATGTACTGTACCTATGATTGGGTCAAACTTGCCTACCTCTATATGAAATGAAAGTTTCCTTTTGTAGGTCAAGTTAGGCAGTACTGTTCGGCACAGATTCGGCCAAAATTTACCTACGTCCTATATGAAATGAAGGTTTCTTTTTGAATGCAAAGTTAGGCGGAAATCGGAATTTATTGGCACAAATTCGGCCAAATTTGCCTACGTCCTAATAAGGGTTTCTTTTATAGGTAAAGTTAAGCGGAATTGTTCGGCACAGATTCAGACAAATTTGCCTACGTCCTCTATGAATTAGTGAAGCTTTTCTTTTGAAGGCAAAGTTGGACAAAATTTTACAGTCTTCTTTTGCAGTTGCTAAGCCATGCGTTGGTAACCATCAATTCTGTTTTTTTTGCAGAAATTTGCATTCAAGCATTCCGTTTTCAAGTCGGTACGTTTTCGATCCTTTACCTTTTTTTTTCTCCTCATTGTTTTTCTTGAGTGCACTCGGACCCAACTCGGAGAGGACAGCTACATTTGGGTAATTAGGTATATACAATTAACGTGTAAAAGTATAATTTATTTCCTTAAAATTAAATACATAAATAATTCGCGAATCACAAAGGCAGGTATATCACAATGAAAAGGACTTTATATGCTGGAAGGGTTTCGGGCACGCAACGACGACCTATTAATTATACTCGATCGAGCTTCACCCCTGAACGAAGCCCTCAATGAGCCTGTCCTGCGGAATTTTTCCGGTTGCTCCTTCACGCACCCTTCGCTCCTGCAAGAAAATCGTTAAATTCCTTTCCGCACGCACGCACGTCTCCGAGGCTCACCTCGACTTGCAGGGGAAATCCAAGAATTTCTGATCCCTGCCGAACGTCTCGCCGTCCTGCAGCGTCTGCGGCAGCTCGTGGCCCAACGTTTCGGGGAGGAATAGCGCCAGGCATCCGCCGAGAATGCCCACTATACCGAGGATAATTAGCGGGAACGACGGTGAGATGGTCGCGAGGTAAACGACGAACGGCGCAACGATACTCGCCACGTATCCCATTATGTGTATTAGTGCGACGCCTTGCGCCCTCACAACCGTCGGCAGAAGCTCGGCGGCGTACTGAAGTCCGATGTTGTAAGTGATATTTATCGCGAACCTACCGATTATGGCCATCGTCGCGGAGGGAATGCCTAAAAATTCATGTTCCATTCATTCTAATTAATTTTAGTCAACCCCACCCCTGTAGATCTGGCTACCTTTAAGGAACTGACGTAACTTATGTAATTAATAATAGTGTAATTTATTATTACGGTTGTTTTTGTGTTTGTAAACAAATACTGAGCGTATCTGGTTGGTCATCCAAAAACTGATACCGCGGTTCATTGCCCTAATGTCCTACCTAGACATATATTTGTCCGAAATTTTGATTTTAATCAATCATCAACCCCAGTAAGACAAATTTCGGCAGAATTCGCTCTATTCTCGTCATGTTTAAATGGAGCGATTAAATTTTGATATTAATGGCCTACTGCATCTACTAATGTTCCTCAAAGGTTCCCTTTTTGCAAAATGAAAGTCAAAATCAACTCAAAAAGGACGGATTTGGGAAACGGGGTTTAGTTTTAATTTAAAATGCTTACCTAATGGTACTGTGGTGGCCAACAAACTGAAGATTCCACTCATAGCCATGGTACCAAAAGCCAGCCATCTTCTCCCCCACCTATCCAGAGTGATCGTTAAAAACGTATCCGCCGGTAATTCGGTGGCGGACGCTATCGTAAAGGTAAGGAAGACATTAAGTCCCAGGGAGCCCACATTACGCACATGTCCGTCGAATACTAAGGAGATTGCCATCCATATTAAGATTAACAAAAGCGTAATTTTCCTCAAATGCGGCGTCTTAAAGAGATCGATGACCGAGTACGACTTCGAGTCCTCTTCCTCCTTCTGCGCTTTATAGCAGCTGTCCCTAAATTGCTTGTACATACTCTCTTCAACCTTAGTTCCGTTGATCCTTTCGAATTTTTTGAGTATGCCGATTGATTTGTCGATTTGCCCTTGCGACACGAGCCACCTGGCGGATTCAGGTACGCACCACGGAGTGAAAACGGCCAAAGCCAAAGGCACGGATGTCACGACGCAAAGCATTCTCCAATCCTCCAAGTACCACGCGATCCAAGGAAGCACGCATGAAGCGCAAGTGAAGAACATCGCAATCGACATATTCGCCACAAAAGTCCTCCACTTCGGCCCAACGTACTCCAATACTATAACGCAATGTTGAGAGACAACCCCCAAATTGATCCAAAAGACTTACCCAAGATATACATCATCGTGAAGCAATTATCGAAGGCCATCCCGACCAGAAACCTGCACAAGCAGAAGGTCCAAAACGAGTTGCAAAACGCGGTGCCAACACCTGCGGCGAACCCAACGAAATTCGTACCGACAAGCGCCGGTATTCTACCCTTGCTATCGGCGAGCCAGCCGAAAACCAAACCGCCCAGGATCGCGCCGCAGAAGAAAATCGATTGGGATATCGTAGGAAGAGCAGCATTTTCGCAAACCCAATCGAACTGAAATATGGGGATGGTTTAGTCATCTTTCGGGATAGCTTTTGCGCTTTACCTCGGCTGAAATGGAAGCGTACGGAACGTCGTCGGTTGTGAAGTTGTACTCGTAGCCGCTGTCGCACGGTTTCCTCGGCCAGGACGGGTCCGGCTCGGTGACGCCGACCAGAAGCAGTTCGGTGAAGTTTACCGCGTACATTTGGCATTTTTCTAGACCGCCCTCTCCGTTTGGAATAGCCAGGTGGACTCTGAAACCAAAAGAAGTTGATCAATTGATGTGTCTATCTTCTGGCGCCAAAAAGATTTCCCCTCCTGATACAAGACAACCTTCACGACTATTATTTGTGTCGGGAACGTAAAATATAACAACGTTCCGGTAGTTATCGGTAAAAAAGAAATTACCGTATTGTCAAGGACAATTTAAGCAAGCGCGCTCCTAAGTAAATTTTTTCATGACAAAAAACTACTGTTAGAACTGCTGTGTAAATGATTATTTCTTGTTTTTATGAACAAATCACTAAGGTTTCTTTGAACCCAAAGTACTGTGTCTACGATATAAATAAATAAATAAATAAAATCGCTGTCTTCATTGTTCGTATTTGTTTGATAAAAGCTCATCTTAAAGTTTTATCTCGGTTTTAATGAATAAGAAAGCATTAATTCGATTCCCTTTTACTTAATATGGGATAAAGGCTAAGATGCTTTTAGTATTCCGAATCGTTGTTTAATTAAAAGGTTAAAGGTTTCCTAGTCGTATAAAGTTAAAGCTGGACGTAAATCTTTCAGAGCTCTTCTCATACAATTTTCAAGTGAGCTCGCATTTTCAGTACAAAAGCTCACGTCAATATTTGCACGCGGTGTACACAACCTTGACCACGCAACCGACCCATTTCCATTAAAAACTGGAATAAACCTTGAGGCTTTTCGTGACATTAAGCGCCTCTTTCAATCCAAGATGTCAATCGAAGGAGCTCGATGCTTAATGCCGTCACTCAAAATTCCATTTATATTTCGTGATATTACACATAGCGCGTATGGATTTTCTGTCGGCCTTTCTCGATCGATTGCCCATTTCCACGCGTTTTTCTTTTCCGGTCGTAGGTACCCCCACGTTCACGTAATTTCAAAAGGGAAGCGGTCACGCGAAAGTGGAAATTACGAATTTAGGCTCCGCCGCCGCCGCCGCCGCCGAGTGCGGGAGAGAGGAACGCGCACTTAAAATTTGAAAAATTTGATTACGCCGCGCTTTACCCGAAACACATTCTATATGCAAATTTCCGACGCCGAAATTACCCATTCGAGAAACTCGCAAATCAATAATTCCTCGGCTCCACCTTCGGTCCTTTCTTTTATTAAACGTTCGCGACAATTAATTTTATGGCAGGGCGCTCAACTCGGAAGAGAAACTTGGGACGCGAAAATTGATTGAGGGGTTGATTGAATTTTTTTGAATTTGGATAATAAAGGTGAAGGTGAAGTGAAAAGGCGGAAGTATTGATTCAATTCTGAGCTTCAAGCGGATTGTAGAACAGTTTGCGCTCGAATAAACCATTAACAAACGGCACTAGCAGGTGTACGAGGATTAAATCAACTCATCTGGAAGTTTTTATCGTGTTACATTACAATTTTTTATTTTTATTTGATAATTGGAGCGCAAACGGATGCCGGACCTAGTTAAGCAGTACAGATTTTCTCCCCTGTTACTTGTTTTCACTATCAAAACTCGACCAAATACAAAGGTGGAGGAAACGTATATGAGCAACTGTTCGTCTGACCCTTTCACTGCCACGGGATTGCGATTAAGCAATCCGTACCCTTGATACGACTAGTTTCCCTTTCAACTATGCCCAATGCTTGAGAAAGATTTTTTTATGGTTGGGACCAGTGAAGATCGTTGGCACCATTGGGATCAGTGAGATGATTTAGATCATTGGGATCATTGACATCATTGAGATCATTGAGATGATTGAGATCATTGAGATCATTGAGATCGAGATCATTTCATTGAGATCGTTCGGATCGGATCATTGAGATCGAGATCATCGGGATCGTTCGGATCGTTCGGATCGTTCGGATCGTTCGGATCATTCGGATCATTTAGATCATTTAGGGATTGCGATTAAGCAATCCGTACCCTTGATACGAGTAGTTTCCCTTTCAACTATGTCCAATGCTTGAGAAAGATTTTTTTATGGTTGGGACCAGTGAAGATCGTTGGCACCATTGGGATCAGTGAGATGATTTAGATCATTGGGATCATTGACATCATTGAGATCATTGAGATCATTGAGATCATTGAAATCATTGAGATCATTGAGATCATTGAGATCATTGAGATCATTGAGATCATTGAGATCATTGAGATCATTGAGATCATTGAGATCATTGAGATCATTGAGATGATTGAGATCATTGAGATCATTGAGATCGTTCGGATCGTTCGGATCGTTCGGATCATTCGGATCATTTAGGTCATTTAGATCATTTAGATCATTTAGATCATTGGGATCATTGGGATCATTGGAATCATTGGAATCATTGAGATCATTGAGATCATTGAGATCATTGAGATCATTAAGATCATTAAGATCATTGAGAAAATGTACCAAAAGTATTCTCTTAATTGTGTCTTTTTAGAAGCAATAATCCTTTAAAAGCGCCATCTTAGCTGGGATTACAATAGCGAATTTGAAACTAGAGAGGCGAATTGCGGATGAAAAGATGAGGTAACATACGTTCGCCCTCACCATTTCAAAGAAGTTTAAAGTAGTGCACAGTCGCCACCTTGGAAGTTGGATAACCTAGGGAAGGAAAAGTATGATGAGGTAAGTCTATTAGTACCCTTTGATCACCAGGTATTAAAATATACAATTTCCGTTGAAAAAGATAATACACCGTTCATTAAATCGCTTGTTGTAAAATATAAATAAACGTTGGTAGGTGTAAAATTATAAAGAACATGAAAAGTTGTTTCCATGGATGAATAGGAAGTTCTTACGAATAAAGTCTCAAATGCATAGATAATGCTGGCATATATGAAGGAAATGTCAAAGATATTTAAAGCTTCTAACTTTTGGGGCATTCATTCAAAACTTCAAACAATACTGCGATTAAAAAGTGGAACAGATTAGAAGCATACCCTAAATTACGCGCGTTTTTGAACCCTTCAACCAAACGATAATTACAAGCCAAAGAAATGCATTTACAGAAAGCGACCTAAGAGGATTTTTTATTTCACCCAGATGACAGTTTCAAAAGTCATACTTGAAGTATCATTACTTGCATTACCATTACGTGGCAACCATTGTCTCAATAATCGTTGCCATGATTTTTAAGCTACGCTTAAGCTAAGCTCCGCTTAAATTTGTCGGTGCAAACGGCCATTAGCAACTTTAAAGCACGTGTATTTTAAAGTCTTTTTTCGCACGCATTTGAGTGTTTAAAACGAAGATTGTGATTCAGGTATAATAAAAAATATAGTTTTAACGACTGAGAATTAGAACTGTATGCCAAATATTGTTTTATACTTTACGTATTCCCCTCTGCCCCAAATTTTATCTTGGTATCTCGAACGGCTCCCATTTTAGAAGGGGGAGGGAGTGACTTTTGCACTGTTAATGTCGTGTAGAGCATTGTTTCTGTACACTACATAATCTATTAGTTATTCCAAAATGACCATCTGATTAAACGAATATTCATTGAAAAAAAAAAACTTAATACGAAAGTTTGCCTTAGTAGAACTGCATTATAAACATTGAGAAAAGTGTTTGTAAGTACTGTGGAGATTTTGTTTAAAGTATACGAAATATACATGATCGAGAACCTGCAGATTACCTAAAAACCACATACGTGACATCCAGAATCATTAGTATCCCTATCATTTGCAGAATCTGAAGATGCTGTAGTCAGAAAGGTTACAGCAGGTATACTGGAAACGTGTTTTGATCCCCCCAACGTAGTTTTAGCCGTAAGTAACTTTGGGGAATCTGGAAGGTTTATTTTAAGATCATTGTAACTGCTTAAAAAGATATTCACGTGTGTTCACGAACCTAGTAAATTTTGAGTTTCATCATACTTTGGGCTAGCCGAGTGGTGGTTTATAAAACAAACAAACGTGGGGTATATAATACCAGTGAAGAAGACATTTGCTTTATTTGAAAATTCACCGAAGAATTTTTTCCGGCGGGAAAGCTCCAATCTTTCCGATCACTCGAGTGCTTTAAATCCTCCATGTCCATAAAATGATTCAGATTCTCGGTACCTACTCTTCGGAAGCTTTTAAGTGTTCAGCCTAATATGATTCTATGGATGTTTCCATTTCCCCTTGTCTTTCGGTGTCTTCATCTACGCCCCTCTAGATTGTACTAAAAATTGCTTGTTTTTAGATTTACACATTTGTTACAGATTTTTTGACGATTTTGATAATGTACCTGTTCGCAATACGCGAGCTAAGTTTCCATGTCGCAATAAATAAGAATTTTAAGTGGGTATTCATATTAAAGACATTGGAGGAATAAGTTTCATGTGAGTTAGGTTAGATCTTGTGAGTGAAGGTTAAGTTCCCTGATGGTGAGGTTAGGAATTCCTTGAGGTTAGATGGCAAAATTTTCCTGTGGGCGGATCCTCACCTAACCTTGAATCACCTCCTCGAACATTAAATCCTCCTGATACAGGATTTGTAAAAATTTTAGACGCTTAAACTAATTTGACCTACCCTATCACTCTAACCTCACCTCACTAATATTTTAACCTAACCTTCAATCTCCTCGCACATTATATTCTCCTGATACAAGATTTTTGACCAAACATAACTAGCATAACTAGCACTCTAACCTAACCTCACTAATATTTTATCCTAACATTCAATCTCTTCGCACATCATATTCTCCTGATACAAGATTTCTTGTAGGTGAGGTTAGATGGAAAAATTTTCCTGTGGGCGGATCCTCACCTAACCTTGATTCACCTCCTCGAACATTATATCCTCCTGATACAGGATTTGTAAAAATTTTAGACGCTTAAACTATTATTTTATCCTAACATTCAATCTCCTCGCATATCATATTCTCCTGATACAAGATATCTTGTAGGTGAGGTTAGATGGCAAAATTTTCCTGTGGGCGGACCCTCACCTAACCTTGAATCACCTCCTCGAACATTATATCCTCCTGATACAGGATTTGTAAAAATTTTAGACGCTTAAACTGATTTGACCTACCGTATCACTCTAACCTAACCTCACTAATAT